GTCACTGGATTTAGCACACACGTCTCTGTATTTACTTTGTATGTCCATTGAGACATATTAAAAATACTATATATACTTTTTATCTGAAATTCAAATTTAGCTAAGTGCTTTTTTCCCTTTGTGGTTGAGTTTTGTTGCTTTCTTAACTCTGGCAATCCTTCTTGTAAGATATTTTTCTACCTGCTCAAATACCACTCAAGAGACTATTTCTCTATTAGAATCTGTTCAATGGTCCTTCCCAAGCAAATCCACTCCTTTGAGTAGGTTTTTACTTCAACTCTGTGTCCTATCACTTTCTGGCATGGTAGTAATTTTTTGCTAGTTTTCATGCCTTTCTATCTGTCCCTGTTACAACAGTGAACATCAGGACAATCATCAAACAGAAAGAAATTAACAAAAGAATGTGCTTTTTATGCTTTCCTTAACATTACCACTCTCTCAGGTATTAGTTCAAGATTTTAGTCCACATCTTAGTCTTTTCTCTGTATTTTGCCACTTTAATTTCTTATTAGCTCCATTCTTTTCATTTTATATACTCCTGAATGCCCCTTCAAGTTCTTCCTGTACTTGTTTCTGTACAAGTTCATTCTATGTAGCAACAGAATGCTACATAGAATGCTATATGCCTGTCTTTTGTACTTTAGAATAATTTTTGTGATAATTTAGCCAGTCCTAAAACCCAGAACATTTTCTCAGCCCTGAATTCATGAAGTCATCACAGTTGAGTCCCTGAGTACTTTCTACGAGCAAAAGGAATAGACCTCTTGGCCTCAGAAAGGCTTGGGATGTGTTTTCATGTCGCTATAGCCAGCAAATGAAGGAACTGATTTAGTAATTATTTTCCCAGAAAATAAGTTCAAATGGCTGCTCTCAGCCTTGGCTTTCTGGCCTCCCTACACCCTCCCCATCCCAAAGTCAACAAAGTTCTCAAGCCTTTTCTGGTAAAAGCATTTGCTGATCTCTTACACTGCAGTATTGCTACAAAATTCAAAGAACAAGCCAAAGGAGTGGCAGGGCATTTTGAGAGTGAACCAGCTCAAGATCTATAACTAAGCTCTTAAGTTCAGAGCTGGGAGCTGGGACTCAGAGTGGTACATGAAGAACTCTGAAAGCAAAAATCTAAACACATGACTTTCTGTGCATACTTCATCACCTGTGCATCCTCAGCAGAGCCAGTTTTCAACCACAGGACGTCAGCCCACTTATCATTTGCATTTCATATAATGTACTATTGTGTTAGTTACTTTCCTGTTGCTATAATAAAACACTATGACCAAAGCAGCTTATAGAAGGAAGAGTTTGACTTACAGTTCCAGAGGGATAAGAGTCTATAATGGCAGGGGAAGCATGGGGTCAGGAGGTGACCAGAGCAGAAAGCCAAGCAGTCATATCTCAAGGCAGGAACAGGAAGCAGAGAGAGACTGACAAATCTGGTAAAGTTTAAGAACTCTCAAAGCCCATGCCCAGCACCAGCAAGGCCACAGCTCCTAAAACCTCCCAAATAGTGCCACCAACTAGAGAGAAAAATGTTCAAATACTTGGAGCCTATGGGGAACATTCTCATTCAAACCACCACAGCTACAGACACTGCCAGATTAATAATGTATTTGTCCAACTTGATTGTTTTCCAAAATTATACCTACTCTCTGTTAGGGTTCCAAACAGCAGCAGTTTCCCCCCTCCCCAACAGGGACCTCACCTTGACCTTTGAAGTCAAGGGAAACAAACTCTGCTGAGAAGCAGCCTGCCTTTCCTCTGATCTTCAAAGATAAGATAAGCAGATTCTACCTGTTAACCAGAGATTTTAGAAGTTGTTTATCACAACAGCTTTTCTCTTATCTTAAGAGGGAAAAAGTAAACACTTCCAGACCCTAATCCTACCTGCTTTTCCTGCTTCCCCCTCCCTGATTTCTCCCCCAAACATTCCCCCCTTCTACACCCTAAAGCCCCCATATATAAGTCCCAGCTCACCACCTGTGGGCTGACATCTTTCCCTTCCCTTCCCTGACATCTTTCCCTTCTATTCCCTGACATCTTTCTCTTCCCTGCCTTTCCCTGACATCTTTCCCTTCCCTGCCCTTCCCTGACATCTTTCCCTGACATCTTTCCCTTCCCCGAGAGAAACGTGTCCTGTGTGAAATAAAGCTGTATCCTGCTGAGAATTCCATCTGTGCCTCGGTGCCTCCTCCATCCGCTCGTGCTCTCCACCGCACGCTCTCTCCAACATTTTTATCTATCACTCTCAAAAGACAAAGACTCAGAGGTGCAGACTAAACTACCGCTGATGAATATTTAAAAGAATTTGACAAATGCATTTGTAGAAACGTGTCCTGTGTGAAATAAAGCTGTATCCTGCTGAGAATTCCATCTGTGCCTCGGTGCCTCCTCCATCCGCTCGTGCTCTCCACCGCACGCTCTCTCCAACATTTTTATCTATCACTCTCAAAAGACAAAGACTCAGAGGTGCAGACTAAACTACCGCTGATGAATATTTAAAAGAATTTGACAAATGCATTTGTTCTTGATCTATAAAATATCCCTGTAATATGGACTACATGCCTTGACATAGATTTCAAACCAATGAAATTGTTAAATTATATCTTGGTAGCGGGATGATTTTATTGTTTAAATTCTATTTTTAAAATTTTATATGTATGAGTGTTCTGCCTGCACATATGTAAATGCATCTATGCATGCAATGCCCAGGGAGCCAGAGAGGATGTTGGAGCCTCTGGAACTGGAGTTACAAATGGTTGTTACCTGCCATGTGGGGGCGGAGAACAGAACTGGATCTTTTGGAAGAGCACCCAGTGCTCTTAACCACTTGAGCCATCTCTTTCCCTCAGTAGCTGAGTTTTTTGGTAACTACTATAATGAAGTGACTATCAGAGAGAGGCAAAAAAAAAAAATTCTCAATTTAAGCAACATCTTTCTTGGTTGGTTCTAAAATGCTTATGGCCTTTTTACTTCTTTCTGAAGTTTCTCATTTTCAAGAGGTAATCAACATCTTGTCATTTCTATGGCAAAGACAGAGAAAACAAATTTGTGAGAAAGGTAAACCAGGTAGAAAGAGCAAAATGCAGAAACAAATGGTTATAGGTGCACACCTTAATTCATTCGCTTTATTTTTGTGTAGCAGAATTCCTGTAGGGATATTTTTTACTCCAAATAATCTATCCCTTCTCTTCAGTGTGCTTTTAGAACCCAATGGCTTAGTTCTATGAAATGAATTACACTCCCACCCCCCAAATTTGTGTTTTCAAGTCTTAACCTCCAATGTAACTCTATTCGGAGAAGTAACTTTTTCATTACAGGGTAATGAATGTTAAGTGAGATTAACGTTGCTGGCGATTTGATCTTGGACTTCTAGAGTGCAGAAATTAAATTTCGGTTGTTTTAGAGAACAGCTCTGTTCTTTGTTCACTAATACTCTGCTATGGAAGACCAATATAGGCAGCTCCACCGCCTCAAGAGCTAAGAAATGTGATTTTTAATGTAGTGCTATTTTCTTGATGAAAATATTTTGTAGAAATTAAATGTATCTAAAATAATTAAAAATACTTAGATATTTTAAGCTTTTGGAATTGAATATAATGAATATGATTTAAAATCACTAACTTTTATAGAAGTCATGCTAGCATAAGAAAAGTAAAATATTTAACAAATCTGAAAATAGCTCAAAGATTTAGTATAAGGCCTAAGTTTGTGATATGGTGTATTAGACACTTTTCTGTTGCTATGATAGAAACACTGACCCAAGCAATTTATAGAAGGAAGAGTTTATTTGAGGTTGAAGTTCCAGGGAAATTATAGTCCATCATGGCAGGGAGGCATGGTGGCTGGAGGTGGCTGGAGCAGGAGCAGCAGAAGTGAAGCTCTCACATCATCATGCAGGCACAGGAAGCAAGAGGGAAACTGGAGATATGGCAAAGCTTAAGAATTCTCTAAGCCCACCCCCCATTGATGTGCTTCCTCCAGGATAGCCACGCCTTCTAAAACCTCCCAAAACAGCACCATCATCTGGGGACAAAATGTTCAAATACTTTGAGCATATGGGGGACATTTTCATTCACACCATCACATATGGAATGGGTTTTCACTCCCAAGACATCAGTTGTTCATAACCTCTCCCACTATGTGTCCTCTCTGGTTTTGAAGTGCAGTGATCTGGAGTAGATTTACCCCCAAAACATTGAATATAATGTTACATTCAGACTAACTTCTGAGACAAGTTTGCAGAAGCTGAGGAAGCTGAAATCAAACAGCATTTGTCCCAAGTACAGTTCAGGGAGGATGATGTTTGAGGCCACCCAAGGTTGCCATGCCATGGATTATTTCTTTTGTTTTAACAATCAGATACATACATCAGTCATATTCATGGCACAATTCTAATCTTCCTATTTGGTTTTCTGGACCACTGATTCCTGAAAAGCTAAAATCTGAAGTTCCTCAACTTTAACTTCCTCTCAGCCAGGTTCCTCCACCTGGTGAGAGGAACAAGTTACTAGTTGAACTACTAATCTTACTCCAGCCATAATGAAACTTGAAAATAGTTGAACATTAATCAAACTTCTTGAAACTGTGGTTAAATGAAAGATCCAAAGATAAGGCAAGGCATGTTGTATATAGTTATCAATAGGCACATGACCAGCTTTGTGGAGGTTCTTTAATGATCAACAATGCTTTTGCCTAGAGACCCTAAAGCCCCTGATTTCCCTCTGCTGGTATAATCCATGTTCACTTCAGCATCCTATCGTTTCTTGTATCAGAACATGCTCCAACAAATGCGACAAGGGAAATTGGAAGTGACAGCCAAAGCCTCTGTAACCCTAGTGCTCTGGATATTTTCTCCTCTGTATTCTAAAATTATGATCAGGTTGGTCTAGTTTGTTTCTCCATTGCTGTGACAAAATACTCTGACCAATACCAACTTGGGGAGGAAAGGGTTTATTTCATCCTACATCTTCCAGGTCACAGTTCACCAGTGACAGAAGCCAAGGCAGGAACTCAGGGCAGGAACCTGGAGCCAGGATCTGGAACAGAAGCCATGGAAGAATGCTGCTTACTGGCTTGCTCCCTTGGCCCATGCTCAGCCTTCTTTCTTAAACAATACAGAACAACCTTCCCAGGATGGCACCACGCACAGTGGCTGGGCCTTCCCACATCACTCAACAATCAAGAAGATGCCCCACAGATATAGCCACAGACCAGTCCTATGGAGGCAATACCCCAAATGAAGCTCCCTCAACCCAAGTGTGTCAAGTTAACACTAAAGCTATTCAGCACACATGTGCTGGATCAGCCTACTGTGCCTTAAAAGTCTGAATCACAATCTAAAGAAGAAGTTTGCCCTCATAACATTTCACTTAAGTTTTGCCAACCATATCCGCCAGCATGAGACTTGGGGACAAAAGTGAGCACCATGGACATTCCCACTGGCAAAACCAGTAAATCCTCTTGTAGGCACAATGGCAGAAGTATTTGGTTTTTCTGGAATAATTGCAGTGTCTTTCAGCTGTCTGGCCTTTAGCCTCATAGATGTGAGCAGCAAGCTAGTGTAATAGATAAAAATTTTCATCAAAACCAGCTCAGTTCTAGCAAGATACAATACATGGAATAATTCATATCTTTGCTTTTGGCTGTATAGGTTCTGTGAGTGAACCAACCCCAAAGTTATATATCTTTCTATTTTGTAGAGAGGATTCTTTTCCTGCTGTTAAAAATCTTTGATCAACAGAGTTGTAGCTTTTGCTCTTTTGCATTGAGGCAATTGTTGCAAGCATTTTTCTTTACTTTGGTTTAGCTTTAACTCCTATATAAAGCTCTGGTTAAGCCATCCACCTGCAGCCTATACAGTACAGGATTACTTCTGTAGGTTATTGCTTGAAAGCCAAAAGCTCTGGAATTCTCTATACAACTTATGACTCCTTAAACAACCATCAGCATTTTGAGCTAAACAGTTAAACAGCTTGAGGAGGAAAGGAAATTAAGACCATGGTTAACTCTCAGTTGAGTTATTCCTGTAGGAGGTTTGAACAATGTTGGAAACTTCTTTGGGCAGGACCTTGAACATTGAAATAATTAACCCAAAGCAGGAAAGGAAGTTTAGTCACCAGATATTTCACCAAAAGCCATCTTATACACATACCTGAAGAGGCAGGAAAGCCTGTACTGTGCAGCACTTTCTGTGCCTTGCCAACGTGAACATGCTTCACTCTGATTCTTATTGCTCACTACATGTCACATCACCAAGGCCTGGGCTTCAGCACTCTTTGGAACAATGAATTAGTTTATGTACCAGTTCTTGTGTTGCTGCATTAAAACACTGAAAGCTGAAGAGAAAAGAGGAGGTATCATTTGAGAGAAAAGGGGAAACGGAGACAGCTGTGTGAATGGGAGGAATGGGCTGAATAGGCAATGTAGAAGAAACTGACCGAAAGGACTTGTTAACCAGAGATGATTACATGACAAAGCACAAATGCACACTAAAATATAAAGTGTCTTGAGCAGAGTCTTAATCTGTCATTCTACTCTTGTTCTGCCTGTCTTCAGAAGGAGAAAACCAGTAAAGCCATAACTGGGAAGTCTCCTCCTCATTATGCAGATGCCTCCTTTATGTCTTCTGAGCTTAAGACTCAAATTATGTGACTACAGATATATAAGCACAATCCATGAGCTTTTTTAAGTGAAAAAAGTGGCACTGGATATGTCCAATTCTAGCACTTGTGTAAATGGAAATGCTTCCATCTATTCCATTTAGTTAAGTACACAGTCGTAAGTACTTATTAGTTACAACTGAACCCTAATTTATGTCTAAATGAATATATTAATGTGTTTGAACAAATAATTGCTCTCTTAGAATGCATGGTATAATGGAAGCCCTTTTTGTGGTTCTGAGGATCAAACCCAAGACCTTGCACATGCTAGTCAAGTACTCTATCACTGAGCTACATGCCTAGTCCATGACATTGCTCTTTATCTCATAAATACATATAATTATAATTTTCTAACTTAAAAAGTAGTGGAGAGGCTCTGCATAGGCTCTGTGACAGACTTTCCCTTGCCAAGACCACCCTGGATACCACATTTTGTTAAGTGTCTAATCTGTCAGTATTCCCTGGGGAATCAGAGATGTACCTGGAGGCAGATTAAGAACATGGGTGGTGTCTCTAGCTAAAGAAAGTAGCAATTTGTCCTCATTGGAATAGACATGTTATTTGACTATGAATTGGCCTTCCTTTTTTATAACACTCTGCAAGAAGCACAATCACTTGTTGGATCAATGGTAAGCTCCAACATTCTGCTAGGTCAACAGCTAGGCATTTCTTTACTCATTAGACAAATGTTACTAATTAAGAAATTCATTTCAGAAAAAAAAAAATGTACACGAGGTCATAGATCCCTGATACCAATCACCTAGAAGTCGCTGGCCTAGCAGAATGGTAGATCAGGCTGCTGGTCAAGCAGGTAAAGAAGAAGTTAATCAATTGACTACAGTGATTGATTCTGATGCTGAAAGGAAATTGGATTGCTGCCTTCATCTAGTGCAGGGAGAATTATGCTTAGAACATAGAATAAAGGTTTGGAACTCAGGGATTCAGACCTTTCAGGGATAAAGGCCTGTCTCACCAGCTAGAACCAGCTTTTACTTGCTAAAGTTATGACTGGCAACAAAGAAACTAGAGCATTAGTGGTGGAAGAAGAAAGTTAGAAACTGTGGCCTTGTAACAAGTATAGAAATAGTTGTAGAAAAATGATAAGTCAATAAATATATTTTCTTCTCTGTTTACTATAAAAATTGGAATGTATCTCTTTGTACGTAGTTGCACATTTATTTTCTCTCACATTTTTCTCATTATCTGATGCAAATTTTGTTGTTGATGATATTTATAATTTGGTCTTAATATGACTCAACATTGGATTATGATTTTGAGGAATGGTTATCATTGCCCAGAGATGCTATGGTTACTTATAGATGATGATGTATTTGTGGTTGGGATTTGGGGCTTTTCATCTTGAGAAAAGAATGAGCACAACCTTATTTGTACAAAGAGAATTGCATTTCTGGTGAGAACACAGAGTGTGTGCTGTGTTTAGAAGACATGCAAAGAGAAGTATCTGTGGGTGTGGGAAGAAGCAAAGGCATGGGCCTTGCTTTGATGGACCTTGCGTTACTCTCCTCTTCAGCCATCCTTCTGTACCATCTTTTCGTGCTGAAGCTGGGATTCTACAGACCTCATTTTTGCACTTCCACATGGTTTTGTTGTTTTGATTTTGTTTGGATGCTCTACTGGGGGTTGAATCTAGAGCCTCACACATGCTGGGCAAGCACTCTACCACTGTATATGTCCCCAGTGTTGCAGGAGGCCTCCAAAGATGGTGTGGACCCAGAGCCCTGGGATTCAGCAAGAATTCACTTCACTTCTTGGTCCGCAAATAGCCTGCCAAAAGGAGCCCACACCTCCACACCCTGCTCGCAAGCCCAGTGACTGACAGACTGCATGGTGGAGACCAATCAGAAAACAATACGCTGACTAAAGGGACTTGGGGGTGGAGAAAAGGGAAATATAAGGCCTTCCCCCTCCTGCATTAAACAAGCCTGCAGCACCTCGCCTAGTGCTTGCTTCTACCTGACTCCCAGGGTCTGTGTGTTGACTCCGTGCCTCTTGCCCCCCCTAATTGGCAGGGGACCCAATCCAGGTCAGGGTCTTCACAGCTGGCCTGAGGAGAACCCGCAACACCTGGCGCCTGAACAGGAACCCCTGCCCACGGTGTTGGTGACACCCAGAACCTCGGTTCGTTCGGTAAGTAGGCCCCTGGATGTCTGTTTCTTCGGCTGTTCGAGGGTAAGCGAGTAGCCCCCTCCTCTGTCCCCTCCACCCCATCTGTCATCTTTATTTTTGGACTAGTTTGTTAGATCAGGGAGGCACACTCTGCCACGTAGTCTCGAAGCCCACGTCGGCACCTCCCACCTCTCAGTTCATCCCGGTGAGTTCACATAAGGGCTGATCCACCCCGAACTCAGAGCCCAGGCTTTGGGTCACCCTCTTGCCTGTCCCGGAGATACCATGTGAACATACGGCTGGTGGTGTCACAGTCTCCAGAAGTCCCTGAGCACAAGACATTTGGATCCGATACATCTTTACATGTCGCGGTGGTTTACATCCTAGTGGCTCACAGTGCTTCTTTGCTTCCTTTGTGTCCTCTTGGTAGTCACCCTCATCTTCTACTTTTGTAGTGAATTCCCCTTTGTGAGACCCTCCTGCAATGGGCAATTTACCACCACAATGCAGGGAACCACAAATGGCAGCACTCAAGGTGCTCCTTAAAACCAGAGGGTTGAAAGTGAAACCAAAAGATATCGAACACTTTTGGGATGAAGCCACTAATTTGTCTCCGTGGGTCTCCCCTGAAAACATGTGGGACCCTGACACGTCGATGTGGGTCCTCTTCCTGGCCCAAAAAAGGGAGGTCGGGTCAGGGATCTCTCCCCCCACCCCACATTGTTCGTACTGATCTTCCTAGCCATCATTGCTAGCCTTAAATCCTCCTCTCCTGAGGAAGTCATCTCAGCCCACAACAAACACTGCTGGGAGCAATCTAGTGTAGATCTGGCTATTACCTTGACCCCGGACCTCCTGGACCTGGAGGTGGACTCAGCCTCTGCGCCCACTTCCAATAAGGAAGGAGCTCCTTTGCCTATATCTCAGGATATTCTCCTAGAGCTACCATGCCCAGAAATTCCCCCGCCCTGATACCCATGGAAGGAGTTACTCTCCCCCCCCCGAGTAACCATCCCACCCCTTCCCCTGCTATGGTGCCCCTCCCTCCTAGGCTTCCCTCCTTAAAGCCTCACCCACCTTTGTCCACATTTCCAGTTAACATCGGCCCTGATGCAGCGCAGCATCCATGGCTGCCCACTCCACTTGCTGACCTCATTCTTATCCACAAGGCAGCTGAGCAATCGGAACCTGACTCCCCATATTTCAAACAGGTTCTTCACCAGTGGTCCTTACAGTTACAAACCCACTATGATTGGTGTAACTTACTAAAGGCAATCCTAGAACCCTCAGTCTTTCTAAACTGGCATGCAGCCTATGATGATCAGGCTAAAAACCAGGCATGCCTAAATCTCCAATACAGCCTCATCATTACGTTGGACATGCTCATGGGATGCAGACAATATACTGACCCCATCTCCCAGTCTACTTTTGGCCTTCATGCCTATTTTCAACAAGTTTCTGACTTGGCCTTTAGGCCCTTAAATGCTGCTCCCCCCCCCCAGTGACCCACAAGTCTTTTTCTGTAATTTGATTCAACAGTCAGTGGAGTCCTTCATGAACTTCCTTACCCATGTCATGGAGGCAGTAGAGCGGAGGGTGGAGTCTGGAGGTGCTTATCAAACAATTAACTTGGGAGGGACTAAACATCCCTACTCATAATGCTATCACACGCCTGTCTGCAATGATAACATTCACAAATGAGTACTCACTACTAGAGACTTAGACCCTAGGGTGGGCCCTATTGAGGCTTTGCCTCCTTGGAGACTCTTGTCGCAAGGAAAACCCACCCACTTTGGCGCATGGGAAAGCTGCTGGAACTGTGGGGGGCTTGGCCACTTTCATAGCCACTGCCCAAGAGGTACAGCCCACCCCAAGACTCGCTGCCCCAAGTGCAAAAGAGGGTTCCATTGCAGTAAAGACTGTAGGTCACAGCCTCAACCGGACTTGGCTCCTTTAAACTCCAC